GTGTTTATATATATATATATATATATATATATGATAAAACATGTAAGTTTTCAAATAATGACTATGAATGATGAAAAAGAATTCATGCTATTGAATCTAATTTTGTCATGTGAGACATGTCATACGCCCGCCTATTTGACGTTTAACGTGTTGACCTTTGGGTCTAAGGTCGTCTTTTATTTGGAAGTTGTTTTGCCTTGAATGTGAGTTGTTTGTAGTGATTGTCTTATACTTGCTAAGAAGATCATTTAGAATAGCTAATGACAAAAATGTTTGTGTTTGAGAGGTCATAGGTTCATCTTAACATGATTGTTGATTGTCATCTAGGCAAGGTGCAATCCCCTTTGTGTGTCCTATACCTGGTGCAAATAACGACTAATGCGAGAGAAGTCATGCGCTTCTCTTAATTTTCTCTTCAACTGCATGCTTCATGTGGGTATGAATTAAGCATATCTCATTAATCATAAATGAACGTGGTAGATATGCTTGTTCCACTCATCATAAATGAGTGCGGTATATTCCATTTTAAGGGATATATTTAAGTTTGGTCTTAGGAATAACCATCATGTGGTTGGTGCATCTTTCTTAAGTAATAATCTCGGTATCTCAATTGACTAAAGTCAATTTCAATTGGCACTCATCATGTGAAAGGGAAGCCATGTGTCTCATTTAACTTGATTCTTTGATTGTCGTCAAGGAAAGGTGTAATTCTCTTCAGGTTTCCTATACCTCGTGTTGTCCATAATCAAAGTGGGAGAAGCCATGCATTTCTCTTGCCATGTATTTTCAATTACATGCTTCGTGTGGTTACACGCTTCATGTCGATCCAAATTAGTCTATCTTACTCAATATAAATGAATATGGTAGATATGTTTATCCCACTCACCATAAATGAGTGCACTAAATCCCTTTATAAAGGGTATGTTTGAGCTTATCTTTATAGCTAAGCATTTTATAGTTAGTGCATCTTGCTTATGCTAACCTTCTTGGTATTTCAATTGACTGAAGCCAATTTTGATTAAATACAGGCCATGTGTGAGAAAAACCATGCATTTTTCTCGACATTCTTTTCAGTTACAGTGCGGGTATGAATCATTACTATCCCACTCATCATAAATGAATGTGGTAGATAGCCTAGCCTACTCGTGAATGTGATAGATATCCTTTGAGGGACACATTTGAGTTTGTCTTTAAGGCTAAGCACTTTGCGGTTAGTCATTCTATGGTTAGAATATGTCTCAGTAGGAGTTGGTTCACTAATCTTACAACAATACCCCCCTATGATTGGGTCATGTTGCTTGTCTAACCCTTATATTTTTAAGACTCGGCCAATTTTTATTGTCTGGTTATAAGACATGTCGTACCAGCTATAGCATATTGCTTATTTGACTGATCTGTGTCTAAGTATAATGCTTCAATTTCTAAATGAATTATGATACTTCCCCATCAAGAGTTGTCTTACCAAGATGCTTGATAGAAATATCATATAAAGGTTGGGCCACTTTGGCTATCCAACCTCTTTGATGTTTTAACATGGTCAATTTTTATTGCCCTGTCAAAGTGACATGTCGTATCTGTTTAAACCTCTTTGATTTCTATCTAATCCAAGTTTCTAGTCAGAATATTTTAAAGTCTAACGCTAATCCCGGTATTTTCCTCTACAAGAGTTGCCTTAGCCAATTCTTACCAAAATATCCTTTAATACTTCCTCAGTGAGAGTTACTTTGTTAGTTTTAAGAATTCCATAGTGAGAGTTACATTGCTAGTTCTTGTGAAAGCACCCTTGAGGTTGGACCATCTTGTTTATCCAACCCCATCGATATTCTCGATCGTTCAGTTAATTCTTATTACCTTATCGAGAACATGTTTGATCGGTTTTTCCTAACTGGTCCATGTTCCATTGGAGTGCCTGAATACCCGACTATATTGTGGTGTTTACTCTTTTAATGGGATTACCAAGATCAGTTAAATTTGACAGCCTACAGAAGAAGCATCCTACCTTGCTAAATTGTGTCATTCATCTAGCGGATATTTTGAACATGAAACCTCAGGTTATTTTGTCATGTGGTCACTTGTTTGAGGCTTTATGCAATAAGAAATATATCGATGTTCTAGTCAGTTCTTTGTATAAGATCATCTTTGTTGGTTGAGATTACTCACGTTAATCTAGCCATTTTGATCAACTAGACTACCTTGGTTATCTATTTTGATGTTATATATAGTCATGATACATATCTCGTCGACTATTTGATTTATAGTCAGGATACATACCTCTTGGACTATTAGATATATAATCGGGATACATATCTCCTAGACTAATTAATTTATAGTCATGATACATATATTCTTGCTATTTGATATATAGTCAAGATACATACCTCTTGAACTATTTTTATATAGTCAAGATACATACCTACTGAACTATTTGAAATGTGGTCGAGATATATACCTCATTGACTATTTGACGTATGGTTGAGATAGATATCTCCTTGAATATTGTATATATGTTCAAGATGCTTATCTCCCTGACTAGATGATAATGTTCCAGTCGATGGAATTATCATTCTTGTTTGGTCAGTCCTTGTTGAGAGCACCATGTTTTGAGGCATGTCGGGCTTTTTAGCCATTTCATTTTGATGTCTCTTGAGTCATATGACTTCCTAGTCGGTTGGTATGATAGCAAATTTAGCTGATTTTGATCTCTTTCAAAATAGATGACTTTTTAGTTGGTTCTTTTATGAGAGCATCATGTCTTAGAACATCCCTCAACATATAGCTGCTTCGTTGGGATACCTCCTGAACCATATAACTTTATAGCCAGCACCTCAGTGAGGTTGTCTCAACTAGCTGGCCAGTTGCCAAACTTTGGGCTTTATAGCCACTTGATTATTGAGATGAGTACTTTCCTCGATGAGGACCAATTTGACTCACAATCAGGATCCTTACGAGAGAGCATAATAGATGATTTGGGTTACATGAGATAAAACAATCTTCTCCCACCTTTGTTGTTACGATTGAGGTCAAGCAAATTTAGGTTCTTTATCTCTATCATTGTGAATATGGTGAGATAGAGAGTGAATATTTCTCGCAAGGAACTTTTTATTCAAGTCTCCATGCAAGTGTAGATGGTCCGGATCACAAGAGATGATCTGGTCTTCTGAATTGACCATGATGTTAAAGCCACTAATCAATTGCCACTTTAATCAGGACACTTTAGCTTTTATAGCCACCTGATAGTTGTGATGGGTGCTTCTCTCAATGAGAACTTTCTAGTCAATTTTTAATATGAGGGCACAATAGATGACCCAGATCACACAAGATAATTAGGCTTCTCAAATGATCACACTGTTTAAGTCACTAGTTGGTTATCATTTTAATCAGGATACCTCAAACCCTATATTCACCCGACTGTTGTGATGGGTGTTATTTCAATAGAACCATGTTTTTGAAGTCAGTTCCTCTATTGAGAACATAAAAGATGACTCAAATCACATGATATGATCGAGTCTTCTCCTCCACTTTTGTAAATATGGGTAAGATAAAGGCCTCTATCATTCCATCATTTTGAAATATAGGTCATTAATGCACCCCTTGTGTGTATTGTTTTTCTGCATGTTTTATGTCAATTTAAATCCTCGATACAATGCCAAAACTTGACTCGTCCTGAAATTACGTAGTAATTTTGCTTCCAAAATATGGCAAAAAACTTAACCCAATTTATATTTAGTGGTTAATGTGCAAAATTAAAATGTTATAAAATATATAAAATAGTTCACACACTATAGATTCTACGCAAGTGCACGTATTGCTTTAAGTAATATAGGGCTTTCTTTAAAAACCCAGTATCGATCCTATAAAAAAACGAGGTAGGAAATTCCTTAGGCTAATTCTAGTCTACTACTATCAGGCTATAGTATGGAATGTTGATTAAAGTGGTTTTTCTAACAAGTAATCCTAAAAGTAAAATTTATGTTTAAAACAACCAACTACCATTCCTAGATGAAAATATTAATTCTAAACATAACCTTTTCGGATGAATTAGTTTGGGGAATTTTCATATGTTAAAAACTATTATTCTTGTAAAGTGAATTAGATAATGTTTACGATTAGGATACATAAAATTTAATGTAACCAATGACAATAGAAGCAATTCTCTTCTTTACCCTCTTTTGAGCGCATAAAGAATATTGTTTAACTTA